TCCTTGCGTGATATCTTCCCATTCTAACAGTTGCCAATGTCCAGAGAGAGGAAGAGAAATGTCCTTGCTGGCTCAAGCTGTGCAGCGGCAAATTAACAATTTAATCAAGTTTCTTGACTTGGGTTTTGGATGACAAAAGAGCCCGAGTTCCCAGCTCTGCGGGTTTCAGATGAGACACAAAAGAAAAGAGTTTTGATGTAGGACCTTTGAAGACAACCTTTGAGTAGGGTTCCATACTAAAAACTGGACAGGTCTCCTTTACCTTTAATACGTAGGTGTGTCAGAAGAATGAAATTCATCAGGCGTTGTTTGTTACCTGGTTTCGTGTCAAGCGACACCAGTTGCATTCCATCCACACACTGATGACTTTTGCCCCTTATTAGTCTACTCCCTTTAAATGGTATTATTTAATAACACTTCTACTTTGGATTGTTGGTTTTGAAAGTTTTTACTGGTTGTGTGACAAGCTACACTTGCAGAATTCCCCTCTTTTAACACACCCATTAAAGTTATAGGTGCTTGTTCCAGTTTTCAGTCTTGTTAACCTAACTTAGGATACATGAGAAGGATATTAACTAGGCCTGTGTTTGTCAACCTTCCTAATGCCGCGACCCCTTAATACAGTTCCTCATGTTGTGGTGACCCCCAACCATAACATTATTTTCGTTGCTACTTCATATCTGAAATTTTGCTACTGTTATGAATCATAATGTAAATATTTGATATGCAGGATGCATTTTCATTCACTGGACCAAATTTGGCAAAAATACCCCATATGCCCAAACTTGAATACGTGTTTGGGAGGGGGTTGATTTTTTCATTTGGGAGTTGTAGTTGCTGGGATTTGTAGTTAATCCACAAACGAAGCATTTTGAACCCCACTAACAATGGAATTGAACCAAACTTGGCACACAGAACTCCCATGACCAACAGAAATTACTTGAAGGGTTTGGTGGGCATTGGCCTTGAGTTTTGGAGTTGTAGTTCACCTACACCCAGAGAGCACTGTGGACACAAACAATGATAGATCTGGACCAAACTTGGCATAAATACTCAATGTGCCCAAATGTGAACACTAGTGGAGTTTGGGAAAAATAAACCTTGACATTTGGGAGTTGCTGGGATTTATAGTTCACCTGCAATCAAAGAGCATTCTGAACCCCACCAACAATGGAATTGGGTCAAACTTCTCACACAGAACATTTATACTTTGAAGAGACTTGCTGATGTGAGCCTCCCTCCAGCCTCACATGCTCTCCTTCGCCCAAACATGTTCACCACGCTGCCATGCACGGAGCACGCCTGCTCACCCCTCCCCGTTTGAAGTTTCAGAAGCAGCCCTCCCCTTGGTTGAGAAGCTGACCAATCACAACAGGAGGAGGGCTTTTGGTGGGAGTATTTATCCTCTGTTTCCAAAAAGGAAGAGAAGGATAGGCAGGGAGATCTTCAACCTTCTCTGCCAAAGGGATTCCTAAAACCATCAGAAATTCATGTTTTCTGATGGTCTTTGGCGACCCCTCTGAAACCCCCTCATGACCCGCCTGGGGGTCCTGACTCCCAGGTTGAGAAATCCTAGTCTATACCTTGGAAAGGTTGCTTTTTGGACTCAAAACCCCTGTGCCGGCAGGACTGAAGACCGACAGGTCGCAGGTTCGAATCCGGGGAGAGGCGGATGAGCTCCCTCTATCAGCTCCAGCTCCTCATGCGGGGACATGAGAGAAGCCTCCCACAAGGATGATAAAAACATCAAATCATCCAGGCGTCCCCTGGGCAACGTCCTTGCAGACGGCCAATTCTCTCACACCAGGAGCGACTTGCAGTCACTCCTGACATGACAAAAAAAAAAAAAAGCCTAAAAAGTAACTTTTCCATGTTCTAATGAGGAAACACCTACTGTTACGGCATTGGTATCATCATAATTATTGGCCTTGATAATTGCCAGGAGAGCAAGAGATAAATAGGGGACGTTGCTAGAATTGTCATTTCATGGACACAGTATAATTAATGAAGTTTGAAGCCACTTTAACTGCCTTGACTCAATGTTATAGAATCAGGGGAAGTATCAGTTTGGTGATGCACCATCACTCTTTGGCAGAAAAAACTCAAGACCTTGTATAACTACAACTCCAATTACTCCATAGCATTGAGCTATGGCAGTTAAAGTAGTGCTAAACTTCATTAATTCTACAGTGTTGGTGCACCCTTTGATACCAAAAAATAATACTCATTGCAATGTGTTCAAAGTATGTCTGTTTCGTTATCTCTGCTATCCAAGGGTTGAGAGTGTGTAGCTCCCCAGGATTTGTCAGATTACAGTTCCCAGCAGTTCCAGGGAGTATAGTGAGGGATAATAGCAGTTCTAATCCAGCAGTTTATAAAAGGCTATGCCTTCCCCATCCATTCATTAATCCAGTTTTATGGACTTAGTGGGTATGTTCTCATAGGTTTCCATATTATACTGAGACTGAGGAGGTTTGGGTTTAAGTCCCCATACTGCCCTGAAGATTCTTGGTGGTTGTTTTCATAACAATACATGCAATTTCTAGTTTGTAGATTCCTCCTAGGTCATGTGGCTGGTATGACTGCATGGAATGCCGTTATTGGGTTGTTGTAGGGGTTTTTTTTTGGGAATGACATTATCTTCCTGCTGGAGCGGTACCTATTGATCTATACACGGTTCCGGCCCAAAATACCTTGCAGACCGCATCTCGGCCTACGAGCCCACGAGGGCCTTGAGATCATCCGGGGAGGCCCTTCTCTCGGTCCCGCCTGCCTCACAGGCACGTCTGGCGGGGACGAGAGAGCGGGCCTTCTCGGTGGTGGCCCCCGGCTGTGGAACTCCCTCCCTACTGAAGTTAGACAGGCGCCCACTTTGATGGCCTTTCGCAGGAGCCTGAAAACTTGGCTCTGCGAGCAGGCCTTCAACTAAGGGTATCTGTGGAACGACTTAGAATGGACTATGACTACGAATTTGGCTATGACCCCAGGATTAGACGAAGCGGATTTTTAGTATAAGTATATGTGTAGTAGTAGTTTTGGTGTGTATTGTCGTGATTTTTGTACATTGTCTTTATATGTTGTTGTTCACCGCCACGAGTCGCCCCTGGGGCTGAGAGTGGCGGTCAATAAGTGCAAGAAATAAATAAATAAATAAATAAATACACATTTGCATGTTTTTATACTGCTATGTTGGCAGAAGCTGGGGCTATCAATGGGAGCTCACCCTGTCCCATGGATTCTAACCACTGACTTTTGAGTCAACAAGTTTAGCAATTCAGCAGTTTAACCCGCTGTGCCACTGTGGCCCCTATAGTCCACTATAGTCATAATAATAATAATAATAATAATAATAATAATAATAATAATAATAATCACACAGGCCTAAACGCTTGGGAGGTGCTCAACTTGTGATTTTGTGATACAAAATTCAGCATATATATCTCACTTGCTGTGACATGCTAAGTTTCTGTGTCAATAATAATAATAATATTAATAATACACCTGTATTTGTTGGAGGAAGCGATCATCCAACTCTGCTACCCCTGATTAGGTTATGATCCTAACAGTTCATAATCTATAGCCCAATGGGTTGTGATCCTAACAGGTCATGATCCAATCCAATTCCAAATAGTATTTGTTACTTGCCTTTCCTCATAGCTTGAAATTGAGTACAATGTAGATAAAATGAAGGACTATAAAATGCATGTATTAATGAAAAAATAGATAAAATAAAGTTAAAATACATAGATAAAACAAAGGACCATGAAAATACACTTGTTAGCTTTAGTAATTAAAAATGAATTAATTGCTGTTTGTAACTAGATACTTTGAAGGTCTCTCTCTTCCATGCTTTACATTGCATACATCCTCCAAAAGTGGTCTTATTGCACCAACACAAAGATCCTTGTCTCCATTTCCTCTTTCTCAACAATCTATGCAGAATGGTGTTTTGAAATTTATTTTTCTTTGCTTCTAGCGAAATATACTGGATGAAATCAGTGCAGAACTGCTTGATGAAAAAAGCATGGTGGGGCAAAGTTTAGGATGGAAGGAGTCTGACTGTAGCCTCCAGGTTATGACTCCTACCTTAATGGAACTGGTGGTTGATGGGCTTTAAAATATACCCGTTGGAGACATTCGTCAGCACATTTACCAGAAGGAAGTTTTACTGAGTTTAGTGCAGGAACTTTCCCCAAGAAAGAACATATAGGGGTTTCATGTGCTTGCATTGCATTTGCAGTTGTTTTCCAGAAGGACAGTTCTTTCATATTGTCTAAAAAGAGGGTGGCATCATCAGAGTTGGTCATTTGGTGAACTGATTTGTTCTCTATGCGGTTACAAAAATTGTATATTGTGAGACTCAGAATGGGGAACTTTCCCTCTCTGTATGCTTGTAGTGAAATGCATCTGCCATGCCTCTGCAGGGCCCCTTCTGTTTTTCAAATGGTCTGTGATCCCCATGTAAAGAAGAGATGTTAATAGGATTTCCAATTCAAGATTGTACCACTTAGGTTAAAACCTAAGGCCTAAGGATATCCCCTGGTCATATCATTAAGCCTTATGTACCATATTTTCTCACTGTTGGGAATCGAAGTGCACATAAATAACATATTATTCCATAGACTTTGAACTATTCAGTGTAATTGTTCCCTAAAATAACTTTTTAATATTTTAGCTGATATTTTTATTTAGTTTTTAACAAGCTGTAAGCCATTGTGAACCCCATTATTGGTGAAAAGGCAGAATATCAACGAATAAAATACAGTATGACCTCTATCTATAGGGGATACGTTCTCACATGCCTGTCTGGAGTTGATTTGTGGAAATTACACAGGACATAATACAATCACAAACATTAACTATCCAAGGTTGTTTCTCTGCTCTTTCATATCATGTCAACCTCAATATATCCCTTGTGGATTTTTCCCTATTCCTTTTTCTTCCCTGGTATTTGTCTCCATTCTCCCCTTAACCTCAACCATCTCTTCTCTTTTCCATAGGTCCCAAGGTTGGTTAGGGGGCTGGCTCCCTGCCTGGCGTCCTACCTCCATGTCGCACCTCAAGAATGTAGAAACTCGGATCCTGCAGTGTAAGTACAGTGTTTTGAGAATGGAGTTTTGGTGGCTGCCCCCAAGATCTGCAAATCCTTTCTTACTACTTCATCACTCTAGGGAATGAATCCACTTTAAATCCGGTTTCTTCCTCCTGCAGAATTTATCAGTTTATTGACCTCAGATCGTCTGCTATGGGTACAAAAGTAAATGAATGAAGCATGATACCTTCAGTCAGCTCCAAAGCCCAGAGCACCACTTAGATTTATTGCTATTTACGCTATAATACAAGAGCAAAATCACATACATCTATTCTCTTAGCTGTTCATCATTGGAAGAAGGACATGTGCTCTTGAAAGCACACAACAACAACAATCCTCTCTCATCAGCCAAACGCAGGCCCACACTTCCCATTGAAATACTAATAAGTGTATGTTTGTTAAGATTGTTCTTCATTTTAATTATTGTGTTGTTTTAAGTGTTTTTTCCCCACTATAAATAAGATATGTGCAGTGTGCGTAGGAATTCATTCATGTTTTTTTCAAATTGTAATCCGGCCCTCCAACAGTTTGTGTAGCTTGTTGTCGACCTTTGCAACCCGAAAGTCAGTTGCATCTGTCAAGTAGGAAATTTAGGTACCAGTTATGTGGGGAGGCTAAGTTAACTAATTTATGAGGCCATAAAAATCTCCAGCAAGTATGCAAAGAATGTGGAAGTATTTCATTAGTGTTACAAACGGATGGTAAAGCGACAGCTCCCCTGGTGACCAGAAGCTGGAATGTTAAATAGCCTCTGAGTGTCTGCCTATATATGAATGTTTGCCATGTATATGTACATTGTAATCCTCCCTAAATCCCCTGCAGGGTGAGAAGGGCAGAATATAAATATTGTAAATAACTAAATAAATAAACTAGAAACAATATTTCATCACATTTAAACCAAAGTACTGACAGAATTCTTGGGTTAGTAGTTTAGTGACGCTGTTAAAGGCTCCTCCCTAACCTACAAACTCCAGAATTCTGCAGGAGGAAGCAAACAGGTTTAAAGTGGATTCATTCTCTAGTGTGAAGAGGTCCCTAGGCCAGTCCTCCCCTTGTTGCTTTACCATCATCGCGTGCAGACTTTTTGTCTTTTTGGGTTTTTGCAAATAGACTCGAGAGATGACATGACTCATTAGAAAAGATGATAAAGAGGAAGGCAGTAGGGAAAGAGGAACAACACACTATAGATGGATTGAAGCCATGGTTGTGAACTGCAAAACCTGAGTAGAGTTGTAGATAACTGGGGATCCTGGGACTCTCTCACTGACAGAGTCACCACAAATTGGCTTGGCAACAAAATAACAAACAAAAATCACTTGTCACAACAGCTTAGAAGAGATACTTCCATTTGGTAAGGGAGCCAAAGCATGCTGGCAAGAATCTTTCAAAGTGGTCCTGCTGACCATGATTGTTTTGGAATTGTAACTACTGTGTTTCCCCGAAAATAAGACATGCCCATAAAATAAGACATAGCAGGATTTCTAAGCATTTGCGTAATATAAGCCATACTCTGAAAATAAGACATTGTGATAAAAAGCTGAGGCTTGGAGGGATACATAGAAAGTGAAATGCAAGAGCCATATCCTGAAAATAAGACATTATGATAAAAGCTGAGGCTTGGAGGGATACATAGAAAGTGAAATGCAAGAGCCATATCCTGAAAATAAGACATTGTGATAAAAGCTGAGGCTTGGAGGGATACATAGAAAGTGAAATGCAAGAGCCACACCCTGAAAATAAGACATTGTGATAAAAGCTGAGGCTTGGAGGCATACATAGAAAGTGAAATGCAAGAGTTTTCCAGTGCGACGGTGGAGGCAAGTCTGGGCCTCCCTTCCTCCTCCTCCTCCTCCTCCTCCTTGTTCTCCTCCTCCTCCTCGTTCTCCTTCTCCTTCTGTTCTTTCTTCCCTTTGAGCCAGGCAAGGCAAGCAAGGCTTCCTCCCCCGAGTGAGTGAGTGAGAGAGGGAGTGAGTCACCGGCTCCGATGGGGCCACGGTTGATGGTGCTGCTTCCCTTCGGCCTGTCCCCCGGGAAGTCTCCTCAGAGAAGTGAGGCGCAGGACGCTCTGCTTTAGGTATTGTGTGTCTTCAGGGGGAAGAAGTAAAGCTGTGGCTGCTGTTTTACTCAGCACTATATTTGAATAAATGCAGATTGTGGTACCATCTATCTATACACATAATAAAAGTGAAAACAGTGTATGTGGTGGAGGTGTCCACTTACACAGACAGCCTCTCACCTCCATAAACAGGCTATAGTTTTGAGAAGGTTCCAAAGGCATTCCCTCAACTATCATTGCAGGTTATAGTGAGCACTATGAGCATGTAGCCCAAACGCTGCCACTGTCCTCCCAAAACACTACGGCCCACCACCCAAGGAATGCTTTACTTTGAAGAGAATTTAATCCTAGATTTGATGTGTTTCCTCCACCACAGGCAACCCAGTGTTTCTTACTCTCTCAATTGGTGTAAAATTTGCATGACTCCACCCACTGCCTCTCCCTTAACCCTTTCCTATGGCACACAGCAAACACAGAAGAATTGATCAGCCACTGAACACACTGGTGGGGTTTGGGGAACTGACTCAACAGGATGGAAGTTGTAGTTCACCCTGCATCAAGGCAGAGCACTGTGACCCCCTTCGATAATGCACCTGGACCACGTTTAGCATGCAGAACCCCCATGACCAGGTTTGGGGGAACTGACCTTGATTTATAGGAGTTGTAGTTCACCTACATCCAGAGAGCACTGTAAACCCAACCAACGATGGATCTGGACCAAACTTGCCATGGATGATGGGACTTGCAGTACCTCCACTCGCTTCCCGTGACCACTGTGACCCTTGCGGATGAGGGATCAGTAACACACTTAGCACACAAATAACCTGGGTATCACTGGGTCCCCAAGCTAGTACTTAATAAAAATATGACATCCTCTGAAAATAAGCCATAGTGTGTCTTCTTGAGGAAAAATATAAGACAGTGTCTTATTTTCAGAGAAACACAGTATAGTGGAACGAAAAAAATAAACATATGTACAGTTGGTATCAAATAATTAAGGGCTGTTTTCTAATTGATACAACAGTTATACTCAATATGCTACTGGATAGTTGTGGTAGTAGTTTATTAAAGTTGAAAACAGATCATGAATAAAGAAATAATTACGATATAGAAGTACGACAGAAGTACTACATAAAACAATGGGCATATAGATGTTGTAATACAGTTAAAACACATTAAAGATCAATGCGAGTACTAAAATCTTGGTCACATAATTTTAGATTAGATAAGAGCATCCCCACAGCAATTAACTGCAAAATCAGTGATGAATTTAACTCGAATTTTCATTGCTGTCAGCGTGAAAAGAGAACCTTGTGAATTATCATTGAATTGGTATCACACATGAGATATTTATTTTTTATTATTATTTACAGTATTTGTATACCTCGTTTCTCACCCTGAGGGGGACTCAAAGCGGTTTACACATAAGTAATGGCAAAATAAAATGCCAGTACAAACAATTACAATTATACACGACAATGAGACATAAATCAAGTTAAAACAGTACACCCACAAGCAATAAAACAATCATTAAAACAATAGAACAGTCTCATCCGTCAAATCGCCGTTCCAGTCATTGTCTTTCCGAAATGCTGCACACATTTACTCTTCGATCATCTGGAGATGCCCTGCTCACGCTCCCATATCCATCACAGGCACGATTGGTGGGGACGAGGGAGAGGGCCTTCTTGGTGGTGGCCCCTCGACTCTGGAACTCGCTTCCCAAGGACATCCGGGATGCCCCAACTCTGGCAATTTTTAGGAGGAGTCTGAAAATGTGGTTGTTCCAGTGTGCCTTTCCAGAATAATGAATTTCTCAGCAATATGCCCTCAAAATGCACTTTATTATTGATTTAGGATTGATTGATTTTCACGCCCTATCCCCAGTTATATCCTACCTTGCCCATGCCCAGCATTATTTTTTAAATTTTATATTTGGCCCAGGCTTAGGTTTTAAATGCCTGTTGTGTAACTGTACTGCTTTATTTTATTTTATTTTTGTTTATGAGATGTATTTTAACTGTTTTTGTTATTGATTGTTGCTATTGTTTTATTATTGATGTGTTGTGGGCCTAGCCTCATGTAAGCTGCACCAAGTCCCTTGGGGAGATGGGACTATTATTATTATTATTATTATTATTATTACTGCCCGAAGGCCTGGTCCCAAAACCATGATTTTAATTTTTTTTTCTAAAAGCCAGGAGGGAGGGAGCGGATCTTATGTGGCTCCATAGGCAGGGAGCCACAGCCGAGAAGGTCCTATCTCTTGTCCCCGCCAGACGTATCTGTGCTGTTGACGGGAGCGAGAGCAGGGCCTCCCCAGATGATCTTAGATCACGAGGTGAGATGTAGGGGTGGATGGGCCAGAACCATAGATAGATAGTACAATCCCTTTGGACGGCTTGCTTCATGGAAAATTGTAAACTTTTGGCTCATGGGATTTTTGACTTTGAGTGCTGACCTCTCTTTTCCTTCTCTCTTTCAGGCCTCCAGAACCGATTTGTGACCCGGTATGTGTCCCTTCCCAACCAGGCCAAGGTCTGGACGGTGTCCCTTTCTCCAGAAAGGGGCAAAGGACGCACTCCACTGGTGATGGTACATGGTTTTGGCGGAGGCATTGGGCTCTGGATCCTCAACTTAGATTACCTAAGCAAGCATCGTCCTGTCCACGCTTTTGACCTCCTCGGCTTTGGACGCAGCTCTCGGCCCCGCTTCTCCCGTGACGCCCAAGAGGCTGAGGAGGAGTTTGTCAGCTCCATTGAGTCCTGGCGTAAAGAGATGGGCATCCCCAACATGATTCTGCTCGGCCACAGCCTTGGGGGCTTCTTGGCTGCCTCCTACAGCTTGCAACACCCAGAGAGGTGAGTCTATGCCCATGGGTACATCCACGTTGTTAAATGTAATAGTAATGTGACAACTGTGTATGAGATTTTCCTAGTGTCTTTAAAATGTTTTTTTAAAGATCATATCTCCCAGAATCCCCCAGAAAGGGTAGCCATTCTAGGAGCTATAATCTAGTTTTGTGAAGTTCTGATATTTAGCTTTCCTATGCAGTATTGTCATCTGGCTGGGGACTGAAAAGTTTGCTTTTGATATTGTGCCATGCAATTGACAGGAGTTTGCTTGGGGCAGGAATTGTGTAGATCTCCAGATACTTTTGGAGTGCAGGTCCTAGCAGCCCTAGCCAGTTTCACTGAAGTTGTGGAATGCTGGGAAGTGCAATCCAGCCACATTTAAAGGGCCATATGCGTCTCATACCTAATTTTGATTGCTCCTTTCTGTCCTGAAATCTTGGTCTAAGTAATGAAAATTCACACTGAGATAGAGAGGGGGAGCAGGATAAAATATTATCACATTCTCCTTTATTTCTTCATGGTGCATACTTAGGCGACTTACTTACTTAGGGAATTCCTCATAGCTTGAGGATGATGGTCCTCCCAAGTGTGTTGGGTTCATAGGTGGCCGTGGAGCCCTATTATTGACCCACATATTCTCCAGCAGTGAGGACACCGGTTTCCAGGTGGAAGGGAGTTCTGGTCAGGGTTGGCTTGACGCGCCTTCCTCTTGGCATATTTCTCCCTTTTGCTATCCGTTTGAGCCTCTTTGAATTCTGCAGCACTGCTGGTCACAGCTGACCTCCAGTTGGAACGCTCAAGGGCCAGGGCCTCCCAGTTCTTGGGGTTTATGCCAGTTTGTAAGGTTGGCTTTAAGTTCATCTTTAATTCTCTTTTCCTGTCCACCAACATTACGTTTTCCATTTTTGAGTTGGGAGTATAGTACTGCTTTGAGAGACAGTGATTGGGCAGTCGGACAACGTGGCCTTAAATAGTGGAGTTGATGGTGTCAGAGCATCGCTTCAGTGCTGGTGGTCTTTGCTTCTTCCAGCACTCCGACATTTGTCAACCTGTCTTCCCAAGAGATTTGTTTGATTTTTCGGAGATAACGCTGTTTGAATCATTCCAGGACTTGAGTGTGACATCTGTAGACAGTCCATGTTTTGCAGGCATATAGCAGGGTTGGGAGGACAATAGTTTTGTCCTCAAACACTGTGCTTTATTTGGAAGAATGCTGCACTCGCAGAGCTCAGGCAGTGTTGAATTTCAGTGTTGATGCTGATTTTTGAGGAGAGATGGCTGCCAAGGTAGTGGAAATGGTCAACATTTTCTAATGTTACACCATTAAGCTATATTTCTGGCATTGCAGAGGGATAATTTTGTACCCACCTTGTGACCCGGCCCAGTTTTATTGTGTTTTCGTGTACTGTGCCTGTTGTTTAATTTGCTTATTTGGTTTTTAATTGTTTGATTTGCTTGATTGTATCGTTATGTTGTGTTGTTGAGGCCTCGGCCTGTGTAAGCCGCATCGAATCCTTTGGGAGATGCTAGCGGGGTACAAATAAAGTTTAATAATAATAATAATAATAATAATAATAATAATAATAATAATAATAATTGGCTGGTGACTTCTGGAAGAACACTTTGGTTTTCTCATTGTTCAGTGAGAGACCAAGTTGTTTAGAGTGGCTTGTAGATCTTCTGAATGCGCACAGGAGAAGACCTACATGTTTCCCCCATGGTGCATATTTCCCCTACTCAAAGTAACAAATTCAAAAAAGATGAGTCTGTCATGATTTTTAAATGTTCTCATATGAAGCTGGCCTTCTTACATCTCATTTGAAAGTTTGGCAGCCTCAAAAATGGCACTTCTTGGTTTCTGCTGGACTATGTTACTCAAGATTGCAAATAACATGTCTCATATCTGAATGTTCCCCAGGAGAATTTAATTGATTAACAATCCTTCTTGGATGTAGAACACTATCCTATCAAGGAAGCCTCCACTTTAGAAGGCTGCTATTCCTGCACATAGCATTTGTGAGTAGTTTACAACAGTGTGTTTTTTCCATCTCTCCTATCCAGAGTGAAACATCTGATCCTCGTAGACCCCTGGGGCTTCCCCACACGACCAACAGACCCAGCTCAGATCCGTACTCCTCCAACCTGGGTCAAGGCTGTGGCGACCGTGCTGGGACGGTCGAACCCTCTGGCCGTGTTGCGGGCAGCTGGACCCTGGGGTGAGTGAGTTGGCAGAAACAATGGACAAGTGCTGTGGAATACATTGAAGGATCAGCAGTTCTAACTGACCATACTACCTAAAGTTGTTATAATAGCCTCTGAGGATAGCTTGTTTGTAATTCTTTGAAACTATTGGTTCCCAACCTGTGGTCCATGGAACACCAGTAGTCTGCAAGAACGAAAATATGGTCTGCGGCCTCATCATTACTACACCATTGCCTCAAAACCACATGGCAACAAGAGTGATGGGTCTCGCAAAACACTCTTATAGTTCCAAGGCAATGGGGATGGTGGGTGGGTGGGGGGAAAGAGTCTGACTACCCATATCCACGGAAGATCACATCAGCTCTAGATTATTAAATATGGTTATCTGTAGGTGAGTAGATGGTGACTACTGGATGGCATATGTTTTATATCAGAATCTAGAGCTGATGTGGTCTATCTAATGCAGTTTTCTGAATCAGAAAATTATCTAAAGTTGACCAACAAATGATTTGTAACCCATTTGGTACTAATGTTGGAGAGTGGTCCCTGGTTGAAGTGGTCCCTGTTCAAGTGGTCCCTGGTCAAAAAAAGGCTGGGAACCACTGTTTTAAACCAATGATTCAGCTGTATCCTCTTTTTTATATACTGGAGATAGAGGGGGTATGAAGCAGAAATGGTGGCTTGTAGGGCCTGTAAGTATCAATAAAAGAACAAAAATGTATTTTTGCCTGCAAATGCACTCTAGAGGCTGATGGGAGCATTTTCTCTACCCCCAAGGTTCATTTTTGGGTACAGGGGAAGACTTTTTTCTAAAGCAGAAGGTAATTTCAGGTTCAGGTGAAAAATATGGTCTCTCCTGTACCTTAAATAGCCCAAGACACCACCCCAAACCTAGCAGAATTGTTTCCCCTGCCCTAGAGTGGGAATGGGGCGGGGATAATAACTTTTGGTAAGGAGAGTGTTGAACAGAAGCTCTCCGAAGTTCTAGGTGCTCTTACCGCCTACTACAGGGAAAACCAGCTGATCCCCAATCCATCTAAAACACAGACATGTGCCTTTCACCTTAAGAACAGACAAGCATCCCAAGCTCTGAGGATTACCTGGGAAGGAATCCCACTGGAGCATTGCAGCGCACCCAAATACCTGGGAGTCACCCCTGGACCGTGTTCTGACCTACAAGAAGCACTGCCTGAATATCAAACAAAAAGTTGGTGCTAGAAACAATATCATACGAAAGCTGACTGGCACAACCTGGGGATCACAACCAGACACAGTGAAGACATCTGCCCTTGCGCTGTGCTACTCTGCTGCTGAGTATGCATACCCAGTGTGGAACACATCTCACCACACTAAAACAGTAGATGTGGCTCTTAATGAGACATGCCGCATTATCACGGGGTTTCTGCGCCCTAGACCACTGGAGAAATTACACTGTTTAGCTGGTACTGCATCACCTGACATCCGCCGGGAAGTAGCAGCCAATAGTGAAAGGACCAAGGCAGTGACATCTCCAACTCATCCCGTGTTTGGGTATCAGCCAGCACGTCAACGACTTAAATCAAGACATAGTTTTCTAAGATCTACAGAGACACTCGCTGGAACACCTCAGCAAGAGAGAGTCCAAAAGTGGCAGGCTCAAACCCAGAACCTCAACCAAATGAGAGACTTTCTCTGGGCACACAGAAGACTGGGTGACTTGGAAGGCTCTGAACAGACTGCGCTCTGGCACCACGAGATGCAGAGCCAACCTTAAGAAATGGGGCCACAAAGTGGAATCCACGATATGCGAGTGTGGAGAAGAGCAAACCACTGACCACCTGCTACAATGTAACCTGAGCCCTGCTACTTGCACAATGGAGGACCTTCTTGCGGCAACACCAGAAGCACTCCAAGTGGCCAGATATTGGTCAAAGGACATTTAATCAACTACCAAACTTGCAAACTTTGTGTTTTGTCTGTTTGTTTGTTTTGTTCTGTTAGAAATGTAATACAACTGTCTGGTTGCCCCTGACATGATAGATAAATAAATAGGAGAGTGTAGTCTAGGTATCCTGGATGATTAATGTGCCTCCCTTGCTTTCCCTGATTGCCCACACATGGCTTAAAACAGACTTGCATGACCTGCGGCCCTCCAGGTGTTTTGGACTTCAGCTCCCAAAATTCCTGACCATTGAACAAGATAGCTAGGGCTTCTGGAAGCTGGAGTTACAAACACCTGGAGGGATGCAGGTTGCTTAAAGGCTTGACTATAGGTTGCAACTTGGAGCCAGCCTACCAGCTGTGTTTTCCTTTCTAGGTCCTGGACTGGTGCAGCGCTTCCGTCCAGACTTTAAGCAGAAGTTTGCCGATTTCTTTGATGACGATACCATCTCGGAATACATCTACCACTGCAATGCTCAAACACCCAGGTGAGAATATAACTACTCTGTACTATCAGAACAGAAATACTATTTTCCCAATCCTGGTCTCCTCCATTCTCTCCTTTGAGGTGTTAAAAATGATCTGCTCTAGGTGTCAAATATACTAGGTACACCACTGCCTTGTGCATTTGGGAAGAAAAACATGAGATAACCTAATTCTTCAAAAATGGTGGTGCTACTATTTTTTTTTTAATTTAAGAGCATAATTGAACAAGCAGCACGACCATTTTAGAAGAATTAAGTTATCTCATTTCTTTCTTTGTACAGCCAGCCCTCTATATCCATGTTCTGTTTTTATGGATACAGCCCAGACATATTTTTTATAAAAATCCAAAAAGCAAAGCAAATTTTGCCACACACTGAGCACTAAGCTGATGTGTGGGAATACCCTGGCATTCCTTCCCACCAATTTACCGATCCCCAGGTTCTCTCTCGCACTCATTTGAGTAATAATAATAATAATAATAATAATAATAATAATAATAATGCGTTATAATAATAATGAGCAGCGGTGGTGCAATGGGTTAAAACCTTGTGCTGGCTGAACTGCTGACCTGAATGGTGGTGATTCAAATCCCTGAGATGGGGTGAGCTCCTGTCTGTCAGCTGCAGCTTCCCATGCAGGAACATGAGAGAGGCCTCCCACAGATAAAACATCTAGCAATCCCCTGTCCAACATTTCTTTGTACAGCCAGCCCTCCAGTCTTCAGACAGCCAATTCTCTCACACCAGAAGTGACTTGCAGTTATCTCAAGTCACTTCTGACACAATAAACAGTAATAATAATAATAATAATAATAATAATAATAATAATAATACCTTTATGTATAAACTTCCATCTCTCCCTGAAGAGACTCAGAGTGGACTCAGAGTTGTTTGCTGTTTTAAACAATGGGTGCCATATTACTGTATAGCATAGGACTTGAGCATCATAGATCCAGGGACCCAGCCCAACAGATACCAAAGGTCTGCTATGTACTTTGGCATTTTGGTATTTTTTTTAACACTACACTTTGAGTGCTATTGGATTGAAAAGAATCACATAAACACTCTAACAATAAAGAACCTGCACAACTGTGAAGAAGTATAAAGTGTGCACCGGATATGTTTTAATGGCTGTCCTGTTCTGCCATCTTCCAAGAGTACTCCAGTGGGGTTTGTGAGAATGGGATGTTCTGGAAAACGAACCCCTTTCTCCATCCTCCTTAACCGTTCTGTCTTCTCCTTTCTCCCACAGTGGCGAGGCAGGGTTTAAAGCTATGACAGAGGCGTTTGGCTGGGCCCGACGTCCCATGTTGGAGCGCATCCACCTGGTTCGCCGTGACTTGCCTATCACCCTCATCTACGGTGCCAATTCCTGGATTGATACCAGCACTGGGGAGAAAGTCAAGGACCTGCGACCAGAAAGCTATGTTTGTGACATAGTAAGTCATTTGCCAAAAGATTCAAAGTAAAGCGTGCCCATTGTTCTTAGATTTCCCTAATATGTTCAGTGATGGAATCCTATGATTGGAACAGAATGCAGCATTCCAAAATTCTCACTTATGTTTTAAATGCAAAAAACAGATGTTTAGCCTTTATGGGTTTTGAATGTCAGTACAGTAGAATCCTTGTATCTGTAGGGAATACGTTTCAAGCTCCTTCGTTGATAGCTGAAATCATGGATAACAACAGCCTCTGTATTTTAACTGCACTTTGGCTG